CCGTGGTGCGAATGGCCGCAGCTGCTCTGTCCCAGGGTCCCCAAGAGCAGGTGGAGTGCTGCTGGGTTGGTGCCGTAGCGCTGCCCCTTGGCGCTGCGGGACCAACCCGGCAGCACCCCAGCTGCTCTATTGCAGGCATCAGCAGCTGCAGCAGCTGAATCAGGGACGCCTGGGGCAGAGCCGGACTATTGGAAGGGGGGGCTATGAGGGGTCTAGGGTGGCATCCCCTCCACCCCAGACCCGTCATAGCCCCCCCTTCCGATAGTCTGGCAAATCTGATAATCCAGCACCCCATGGGTCCTAAAGGTGCCGGATTATCGGAAGTTTACTGTATTCAGTTTTCAGCTATTTGGGACCTTTTTATGCATTTATTAATTTACACACTGTATGACAGGACAGACTTTCTAGCCTTACATTTTTATGATTTAACTATTTGAAATAACTTCAAGAGATCATCTTGTCCATTCCTCCATGCTGAAGCAGGATCAAGTGCACTTAGACAAGTGGCAGTCAGGGTGGCCTAAGCTTTTCTTAAATACTTTGCATATGGGGAATTCCCTAAGGGACCTGTTCAGTTCTTAATTACCCTTTGAGTTAGACAGTTTTACTCAATATCTAACTTTAGTCTCCATTGTAGCAAATAATGATGCTTTGACTGTGAATCCCATAGAAAGCTGTTAAAAACCATTTGATGCCAAAAATAAAATTCTCCATATTCTCAAATTGCCAAGTGCAGTTGTCCCTGAGCTGTGGTCCTAAGAGTTGCTGAATTCTCTCAATTTTTATGGACTTCAGGAGGAGTTGAGGTAGTTCAATATTCTTGTAGATTTGGCCCTATTTGTGTCAATAGCTTATTATTTTCCCCTTCAAACGTGAATGTCTGAGCCTAGTACAGAAAATAGGAATTTTATTTAAAAGGATAGAGAAACCATATCTGGTAGCATTTCCAGCAGCAGCCCGTCTATGTAAATCTTTAAATTTATGGGGCTATCATTTTACTGTTTTGTATTGCCTGCGTGCAGGGAGAAGAGGTATCAGATTCTAATTGTAGCTTGTTTTGATGACAATTCCAGAACTGGTGAAGTAACTAAGGGTATGTCTACACTACCCTCCTAATTCGAACTAGGAGGGTAATGTAGGCATACCGCACTTGCAAATGAAGCCCGGGATTTGAATTTCCTGGGCTTCATTTGCATAAACCGGGTGCCGCCATTTTTAAATCCCGGCTAGTTCGAACCCTGTGCCGCGCAGCTACACGCTGCACGGAGTAGCTAGTTCGGATTAGGCTTCTAATCCGAACTAGCTGTACTCCTCGTGGAATGAGGAGTACAGCTAGTTCGGAACCTCTAAATATCTTCTAAGACCCCAGGAAGCAGTGGAAATGTTGGCAATGCTGCTACACAATATTGACCTGTGGTCCGGCAAGTTCTCTGGTTTGGCAGCAGTCAGGTCCCAACAGTGCCAGACTAGAGAGTTTCAATCTGTACTAGCATCTTTTCTGACACTGCCAAACATCCAGCCCTGGAGATGCATCTATTCATTCCAGGTTTAGAACTGATCCTTAATGTAATCAAAAGTCACAACAGCCCAGAGATGGAGCCAAGAGGATGATTACTGCTATCTTAGGGTATGACTACACTACCCCGCTAGTTCGAACTAGCGGGGTAGTGTAGTCATACCCTAAGATAGCAGTAATCATCCTCTTGGCTCCATCTCTGGGCTGTTGTGACTTTTGATTACATTAAGGATCAGTTCTAAACCTGGAATGAATAGATGCATCTCCAGGGCTGGATGTTTGGCAGTGTCAGAAAAGATGCTAGTACAGATTGAAACTCTCTAGTCTGGCACTGTTGGGACCTGACTGCTGCCAAACCAGAGAACTTGCCGGACCACAGGTCAATATTGTGTAGCAGCATTGCCAACATTTCCACTGCTTCCTGGGGTCTTAGAAGATATTTAGAGGTAAATAAGAGCTAAATCATAGAATACTAGGACTGGAAGGGACCTTGAGAGGTCATCGAGTTGAATCCCCTGCCCTCATGGCATGACCCAGTACTGTCTAGACCATCCCTGGTAGACATTTATCCAACCTACTCTTAAATATCTCCAGAGATGGAGATTCCACAACCTCCCTAGGTAATTTATTCCAGTGTTTAACCACCCTGACAGTTAGGAACTTTTTCCTAATGTCCAACCTAAACCTCCCTTGCTGCAATTTAAACCCCTTGCTTCTTGCTCTATCCTCAGAGGCCAAGATGAACAAGTTTTCTCCCTCCTGCTTATGACACCCTTTTAGATGATACCTGAAAACGGCTATCGTGTCCCCCCTCAATGTTCTCTTTTCCAAACTAAACAAACCCAATTCTTTCAGCCTTCCTTCATAGGTCATGTTCTCTAGACCTTTAATCATTCTTGTTGCTCTTCTCTGGACCCTCTCCAATTTCTCCACATCTTTCTTGAAATGCGGTGCCCAGAACTGGATACAATACTCCAACAGCTACCCCTCTGATACAATACTCCAACTGAGGCCTAACCAGCGTAGAGTAGAGTGGAAGAATGACTTCTTGTCTCTTGCTCACAACACACCTGTTAATGCATCCCAGAATCTTGTTTGCTTTTTTTGCAATAGCATCACACTATTGATTTATGTTTAGCTTGTGTTCCACTATAACCCCTAGATCCCTTTCTGCCGTACTCCTTCCTAGACAGTCGCTTCCCATTCTGTATGTGTGAAACTGATTGTTCCTTCCTAAGTGGAGCACTTTGCATTTGTCTTTATTAAACTTCATCTGGTTTATCTCAGACCATTTCCCCAATTTGTCCAGATCATTTTGAATTCTAACCCTATTCTCCAAAGCAGTTGCAACCCCTCTCAGCTTGGTATCATCTGAAAACTTAATAAGAGTACTTTCTATGCCAATATCTAAATTGTTGATGAAGATAAATAACAGCACCGAACAATAATAGAGATGTAGCTGTGTTAGTCTGGTCTTGTTGAAACAAAGGACAGGACTATGCAGCACTTTAAAGACTAACAAGATGGTTTATTAGGTGATGAGCTTTTGTGGGCCAGACCCACACCGAACAGTGAGAGCCAGGATGGATGGCTGTAAGAAACCTGGCCAAATCCATGATAAGTGGACATCCAGCTAACTAAAATCATGCTGGACTCCACGGATGTTGCTGACCAGAAAGCGCTGGGCTAGAAAGGTTCAATCTGTAGTAGTACAGGCAGTCCCCGGGTTACGTACAAGATAGGGACTTTAGGTTTGTTCTTAAGTTGAATCTGTATGTAAGTCGGAACTGGCATTCAGATTCAGCCGCTGCTGAAACTGATCAGTTTCAACAGTGGCGGAATCTGGACAGTAGTTCTGACTTACAGATTCAACTTAAGAACCCCAGGTGTCCCCAAGTCAGCTGCTGCTGAAACTGATCAGCAGCTGATTCCAGGAAGCCCGGGGCTTTAGGTTTGTTCTTAAGTTGAATCTGTATGTAAGTCGGAACTGGCATTCAGATTCAGCCGCTGCTGAAACTGATCAGTTTCAACAGTGGCGGAATCTGGACAGTAGTTCTGACTTACAGATTCAACTTAAGAACCCCAGGTGTCCCCAAGTCAGCTGCTGCTGAAACTGATCAGCAGCTGATTCCAGGAAGCCCGGGGCAGAGC